GCCCCTGGAGTTGCATCCATATAAAGTGTTTTAAAATTGCATAAAATTAGCATTTTTCACCATAAAACTTCTTCTTCCTCTACAGCGTAAAATGTAAAAATTGCTGGTGTCCGATTGTGAGTGATGTGAATATCGGAATCAAAGGATCCCAGACTGGTTTGGGCTGGAAGGAACCTTAAAGCTCATCTCATTCCCCAACCTCCCACTATCCCAGGTTGTTCCAAGCCCTGTCCAGCCTGGCTTTGGAGCCACATTCCCTCAAATCCTTGGAGTCAGAGCTTCTTAGAGCTTATTTAACTGTTCAAACCACTGGGGTATTTTTCCCCACTTCCTCACACTCTGCTTTCCTTCCTTTTCCCCCTTTACCTTACGTTTAATTTCCTTTTCCATCCACTTTCCTACAAATATAGAGACACAAAAACAGAAGCAAAGAGAGGAAGAAGCAGAATGACAAAAACCCAAGGAAATTAAGAATTTAAAAACTGAAAGAATGAAAAAAATTGTCATATATTTACTACACTATTTTATATGAGAAAAGTAGCTTCAGTTCTGAAATGGTGCTTAATTCCAAAATGTGGCTTTCCCTGTCAGGTCTGGACAAGCCCAAGGAATAAGTTGAATAAAAATGACCTAAACAGGCAAATCTTATTCTTGTGTGGCCATAAATCTACCAACTTGCTCACTTGTCATTGTGTTTTACCTCAGAAATGTGTCCTGCTTGGAGGCCTCAGTCCATAAATTACCCCTGGCAAGTGGTCATAAATTATCAATCCACATATTAAATAATCTTTTCTTTATCTGGAACTGCATGAGGCTGTTGAGTGTGAGGTGGCTGGACAGAGTAAAAACTCACTCAGCAGCTGAGCCTGGCTTTTCTAGGCAGCTATTTTGGGTGCTCTGACTCACCTGGAGCTTCCTGTTTCACATTGCCTCTAAGAAGGAATTAGGGAGCCTAAATTTAGAAGCTGTTGACATGAAGGAAAATGGAATGTCAGGACTGCAGGATATGGCAGCTGCGGAAAACCTGATGGCTTCAGTGCTGGGGTGCAGCATCCCTGACTTACACCAGAGCACGGAGGCTGCTGCAATCCCAGGGAATGCTGAGCATGGAGAAGGCTCTGCCCCCATGGAAATGTCCAGCTCTGGGGTCTCACAACCTTCCCTCTTCTTGGAAGCACCTGAATTTCTCCTGGTGCCTGAATTTCAGATGGTGCCATGCTGTCCTTGGGGCTCCACCCTTCTCCAGCCCAAATCTTCAAGCTCCTGGGATCAGCAGTGAAAAGAAAAACTGGGAATTTAAACCATGGGGGCTGGGGATGGGGGTTCCAGGTCTGACTGCAGAATGTGCTCTTCCAAAACATTTTTCCAAGACCCTGTGTCCTCACATTCATTGAAACTGAGCCAATTTAAACCAGTAAAAGCTGGGGCTGGAGGAGGTTCTGAGGTCACTATGTGCAGCTCCTGCTGCCCCAAGTGTTGCTCATCAGAATTTGCATTTGTTTCAGTCATTCTCCCTCCAGAAGCTGCCTTTGCTCTGAGGTTTTCTCTTGCTGTTTGCACCAAACACAAGTTGTATCACTTCCACTTTCTAAAGACCCATTGTAAGGTCCCAAATATAAAAGTTTATTTATGTTGCTTTTTAGGTTGGTTATTTGTGTTGAGTAGTCCCTTTCTTATTTTATCTTCAGGACAGGGTGCTTGAAAGCAGTGGAGCTGCTTTGAATTTTTCTATCTAGTAACATTATGAATAATAATAATAATTATTATTATTATTGAAGAGCATGAGCAATTAGCCAGGAATTTTGCACAGTGCTGTTTGTTCTCCCAAGGGATCTGTGTGGCTCAGAGCATTGCAGAGTCAGGCAGTGACTGCACAGAAGGTCAGGGCCCTATTGATCCAGGTGGGATTTTTAAATAGAGACTGCTGTGCATTTTTAGGTTGCCAACAGCCCCTGGTTGGCCCTTGGCACAGGAAGGGATTTCTCTCTAAGGGACTCTGATGTTTTCTTCTCGTGCTGAACAAAAACCGAAACAAACCCAAAGTGAATGTGAAAGTCCCTCTGTGGATAACGAATCTGTGTCACATAAGCCATGGCTTAATTTTCACAGCTGAGCTTTGAGGAGTTTGGGTTGGGGCCAATTTCATGGGAGGTGTCACCGAGCCTTGTGAAATCTGATTGCTCTCGTGGTTTCAAAGTCTCCACAGCTCCAGCAGAGCTCAGATCCAGCTCTGTGATCTCTGATCTTAAACCTGATCAGATTTTGGTTTGCTGCCCCCGGGTGAGCTGGGATGGAAATGTGTTACATCAGCTTGACTGCTACTGAAATCCATGTAAAAGATTTCTACAGCAATTAACAACAGAGAGAATTAAGCCAATAATAGGAATTTTTTTTCTCTATCAACCAAGATTATGGATAAATTCTATAGATGCCCCATGGCCAAGCAGATATCAGATTAAGAGTGCAGCTTTATCAGTGACTGGGGAGGGCCCAAACCCCTTGGCAGAGCAGAGCTGTGGGATTGTTGCTGCTCCCTGTGTCTGGTGGAGCTGGCAATCACACACAGGCACAGAAAAACCCACACTTGCCCCATCTGAGGGCCAGGGGAGGAATTTGCACAATTTCTCCGTGACTCTGATGCCTTAGGATTTGAGCTTTTATATATTCCATATATTTGTAACCGGCATCAACTTCAGTGCATTTAGGATTGCTCCCCTCTCCTGGGCTGGGCCCTGTGCTGGGGAAGCAGAGCAAGGAGTGGCCCCTCAGGAGATGGAACCTCCAGCTGCAAACGGGGCTGTTCCCCACAGGGAATTGCTGCTGGTGCTGCTGGACAGACACATCCTTGTGGGAAGGACCAGCCTGGGTATTTTTTAAAATACTGGTTTGTTGTAAAAATGACCCACTTCAAAAACTTAGGAGAAAAAATAAATGAAGGAAAAGGGATGAAAGAATGAAGTGGCTTGGAGTGTGCCTGCCTCAGGGCCTTGCTTCACTTAAAGCTATTTAACATTTTTGTAACTGATGGGGAAATTGTCCACTATTAATGGGCTTTCTTTCTGGCTATAATTTATTCTTATTTCTCAGAGGCAATGGGGTAGAGGCCAGATTTCTTTATCCAAAGGTATTAAAATGCCTGAGGCTGAGCAGCTTAGCATTGCTTTGTCAGGATTTTCTCCATCTGACAAAATAATAGAATAAAATCACCCTGTGCAGGGAGAGCTGCTTTATTTTTAAAAGAATGCCCTTTCTCCTTCAATTCAAAGCCTCGAGGGAGAGGAGGGCTGGTGGGATGTGTGAGGAGATGCATATTTTCATTCACTGACTCCTTCTATATTCAGGAGCTATGATCCCTCTCTGCCAGGCTTGCTTTAACTTCTCTGGAAACTGGTTGTGTGGATCAAAGAGAAGGCAAATAGAAGATAAAAACCCTGCTCAGAGACATGAGGGATTTATAGGGCCCAGAGGAAGTTCCAAAGTCATAGGCAGGGTCAGCTGACTCTTATAAAAATAAATTATTCTTTGCTAAGAGAAAAAGAAAGAAGAGAAAACTAAATCCATGTTTTTTGCTTTTTGTTCTTTTTGATTTAGTTTTTTTTCTTTTTTTTTTTTTTCCCCTGAGTCATTAACAGCAAAAGGAATTTTTGTTTGCATCAATGTTCATCAAAACAGAAAGTGGGTATCTCTAGCAGTGAATCATATCAGTTGTTCCTGACCTTTAGAAAGTATCTGGTGTAATTTGAAGTCACCTGGTGGATGAGACAAAACCTCATTGATATGCACCATCAGTTTCTGGTGATGTAAAACAAGAAACAAATTACTGCTCTGAGGAATATTTGGAGTGTGCTCACACAGACTGAGCTACATCAGTCACCAGCATCCACTGAGCTTGGATGATAAACCACCAGGTTTCTGCAGCCAGAAAATCTATGACTAAATGTTTGCTGTGGAGAGTTTGCCAAGCTGCAGTCAGAGAAAAATGTCAGTTGTGCAAGGAGAAAAACTCCAATAATGGTGAGAAGAGGCCTTCCTGGATTCCCAGAGATGAAGGGAAAAGGGGAAGGACTGAACTGGGACCAGATCTGGGAACATCTTGGTGCCTTCTCTCCCCACACTGTAAGAATGAAATTGCAAATAAATGTCTGGGTTACTGCAATTCATGGAATAAGAGGGCCTGAGATTCTTCTTTTATCCTGAATTCTCTGAACATTCCAGGCATCCAAAGAAGCTCAAATATCACCCATCCTCTGGCCTGCTCAAACATCTCAGCTCTCAGCTGAGGACCAGTCTGAAACGGTTTGGGAAAGTGTGGACTTTGGGGAAGTCCTGGCTTTCCAGGAAGTGCTGCTGCTGGAGGAGTATTCCCAGCCCAGTGTGGTCTGTGTCACACAGGGACTGCCAAACTGGCAGGGCAGCACTCAAGGAAAATGCGTCCTAATGGACTTTGCTATTTGCCAGATTGGCAACTCCATTGCTGTTTTAATGTTTGATGTGAAAAGATTTGAGAACCCCAGGGGAAAACAGAGGCTGAGCACTCTGCTTAGACAAAGTCTGTCCCAAAGAGCTTTATATTTAAATAGAAGAGATGGATAAATAGTGACAAGGAAGACACTTGAAAGAAATAACATTAAGTCCGTAGCAGAGTGCAGCACAGAAAAATCCTGTAATTCCCAAATCTGCTATGTCCTGCCCCAGAGTTTCAGCTACCAGCCCAAGAGTCAATAATTTCATAATTTTTGCTGTTGTACAATGAATCTACTCCAGAGTTGTCATTGAGTGTCCATGGTAAAGAAAAGCTTTGACTACAAGCTTTGACTGTTGAGTTTTTGGAAAGAGTGGGTTAATACACTACTCCATAAAATAGAGTTAAACAGATTTCCCCATGTCTGAACACAGACACTGTGCCAGCAGTTTATGACCCTAAAATTCTCCGTATTATGGATTCTTGCCATGATCTGGCTGGGTTTTAGTCTGTGTTCGCACAGATTATTTTGAGGAGCACTTGGTGGGTTATGTGCTGGATAGTCCAACAATCCCACCTGGAGCCAGCCCAGGGAACCTGGCAGCTCTGGCTCTTGCAGTGTTTTTTTTCTGGGACACTCACAAAGTTCCTTGTTCACCCTAGGGATGAGGTGAGGTGTGAAATTTAAACCAAGGTGGTGCCTAGTTAAAGCAGGCTGCTGGTGTTCAGAGAAGGGGTTTGGGCAGCAGTGGGAGGTCAGGGAGCTGCTGTTCCATTGCCGTACCTCAAGACCCCGAGAACATTTTCATTGGGAAGAGAAATGTCATTCAGGAATTCAGGATGGTTCAGTGTTACTGATATTTTGTCGTTCTCCTTCAGGTGTGTCAAGTGCAGATGGAGCAAGGTCTTAAAAGTCTTGTCTTGGCATGTTTCCGACGCACAAAACGTGGACAACGTCTGCCTGTCCACCCTGTCGTTCACCAGGAGCTCAATCTTGAGGTCGATGGGGCTCTTGGAGCAGTTGGGAAAGTGAAAGTTCAGGTTGCAGAAGATCAAGTAGAGGCCTTGTTCCCTGATCACCAGCTCCTGGCTCTGGCACTTGATGGCCTCACAGGACTCCTTCTCCACCAGGCTCAGCCTGGAGCTGTTCACTGTGCTGGACACTGCAGGGAAAACAAAGGGCTGTTAGCTCCGAGCTCCACTGAGCTCCCTCCAGCCTTAGGACACTTCAAGCAGTGTTTCCTGCTAAAAGGAGACACCTGCTCAGTGGTTTCCTGCAGGAAGCTCCAGGAAAACTCCTGGAAAGACAGCTGTGAGCTCACACATGAAGGTGGGGCACTAAAAATTCCAAGGATTTACTCAGCCCTCGGGAAACCCGGGATAGCGAAATGCAGGAGTGTTCATTATTTCCCCATTTGGCATTTGAAGGGAATTCACAGAGATGTACATTCATATGCTCTCCATATTCATGGAGATTGTATAGCTCATGGAGGTGTACATTCCTCTGTGCGTCTGCAGAAGGTAGATCTTTATTTCCTGTTATGTTTATCAAGTTAAAAACAAAGTTTCTAGTATCAGATAGGGATTTGCCAGTCACATTCCAGGACAGTTAAGAAATTTTTTTCCTATAAAATGCCCATTTGGACAAAAAGGCTATTTGCCACTCAACCCAGTGTGAATGACAGCAGCAGCTTTTCAGACAGCTCTGAAATTTCCCTTTCCCAACCCTTTTCCTCCACCCTGCTGACCTCTCATGTAGGCAACAGCTCTCTTGCCTGGGACTCTCTGTAGGATCCTCAAATAGTCTTCCAAGTTGTTACCTGAAGAAAACAACAGATTAACTCATTGCTCCTGAACTTTATTTTTTTTATTTTTTGGTACTGCAAAATGCAGCCAGCACTTGGTACCCCACTTCCAGCATGGTTCTTACTCCTTGCCTGAGAATATTTGATCTGCCCAGGGAATTCAGAGCACTGTCGCTCAACTGGTAAATCTATAACAACCTAAAGCTCTGGCAGATTGCAGCTCTCAGCCATGAAAAATTAAATTCCTTACCCTGCTTCTTAAAAATAGGAGTGATGGTTTTAAATTAAAAGAGGGTGCATTTGGAATACATACAAGGAGGAATTACAGTGAGGGTGGGCAGGCCCTGGCACAGGGTGCCCAGAGCAGCTGTGGCTGCCCCTGGATCCCTGGCAGTGCCCAAGGCCAGGCTGGACAGGGCTGGGAGCAGCCTGGGACAGTGGGAGGTGTCCCTGCCATGGCAGGGGGTGGAACAAGATGAGCTTTAAGGCCCCTTCTAACCCAAACCAGTTTAGGATTCTGATTCTATGAAATAGAAATTATGTCCAGGTAAGCTTAATTCAACCAAGTTGTTTTTGTGGTGCAATTACAGAAAGCTTTTAAACATTTAAGTGGGACATAGTTCTGAAAATGGTTCTTTGGGTGCTTTTGGAATGTTGCTCTGTTCTCTCATGGTTAAAATGTGGATTTTACCAGGACTTTCGGTTGTTCATATAATCCTAGAGTGGTTTGGGTTGGAAGGGACCTTAAAGCTCATGCTGTTCCATCCTGACATGGCAGGGACACCTCCCACTGTCCCAGGCTGCTCCCAGCCCTGTCCAACGTGGCCTTGGGCACTGCCAGGGATCCAGGGGCAGCCACAGCTGCTCTGGGCACCAGGGATCCGAAAGCTGCTGCTGGAGGGGCCGAGCCGGCCCCGCTCCTGCCCCGCACACCCCGAGGGCACGGCCCGGGGTTCCGAGCCCAGGGCAGCAGCTGAGCCCCGGGAATGCCCCAAATCCAAAGCGCCGGGACGGGGAAGCGCCGGGACTGTCCCGCGGAGGGACGGCCCCATCCCACGGGAGCTCCTCCATCCCACGGGAGCTGTTCCATCCCACGGGAACTGCTCCATCCCTCGGGAACTACTCAATCCCATGGGGACTGCTCCATCCCACGGGATACGGGAACTGCTCCATCCCACGGCCGCGGGATCTGTTCCGTCCCACGGGATGCGGGAACTGCTCCATCCCACGCGACGCTGGGATGGCTCCATCTCACGGGACGCAGGTGTTGTTCCCTCCCTGTGCAGCGCCTCGCGGAGTGCTCCGTCCCACGGCCGCGGGGACGGCTCCATCCCACGGCCGTGCCCGGCACTGCAGGCGGCCGCAGCGCACCGAGGAGCCGAGTCCATCCCCACATCCTGGCACCGCATCCCGGCACCGCATCCCGGTGTCCCATCCCCTGCATCCCGGCACCGCGTCCTTGTGATCCAGATCCTGCATCCCAGACCCTGCTCCCCACTTCTCCCCCTTGCATTTCACCTCCTTTCCGTCCATATTCCTGCCTTCCATCTCCTCTCTGTAAGTTTTTCCTCCTCTCACCATACTGGTTGTTCAGTTAATGGCACTGATTATCCATTCCTGGCAGTGTCCAAGGCCAGGCTGGATGGGGCTTGGAGCAGCCTGGGACAGTGGAAGGTGTCCTGCCCATGGCGGGGGGTGGGATGAAATGACATTTAAGGTCTTTTCAAACCCAAACCATTCTAGGATTCAGTCAATGATTCTGCGATTATTCTGTCTTTATTCTGCATGACACAGAATTGTCCCCTAGATCCACAGGTGGATGGACACACAGACAAAGTGTGTCCATCCAGGAAAACAGTGCATATCCCAGTGATGCAGCCTGACAGGTGAGTGGGTATTTCTCCTTGCATTTGCTCTCCGTTATATCTCCTGGCCCATCTGTGGCTGTGGAAGTGCACAGGAGCTCAGATGGCAAACTGGGAATTTTTGGTGTTCCATTCCACAGCTGAACACCAAGAACAAAGCAGGGAGGTGTTTCAGTAAAGCTTTTTTAAATTAGACTCCCTCTCCCAGGGTACACAAAACTCTGAAGTTTTCCTGTGACTTGGTTTATAAAACTGATATCACAGTGCCCTAACCTACAAGGGTCTCTGAAGGGCCAGTTAATGCACAAAACTAAGCCCTACTAAAACCTGACATCAGATGTTGTGTGTCATGATCCTCACATGCCCCACTCTGCTCAGTGCTGATGGGGCCTCACCTCAATCCCTGGGGGCACTTTTGAGAGTCACAGTGAAAGAAAGATGTAAAGCTGTGACAGAGTGTCCAAAGGAGGGACACAGGGATGGGGAAGGGTCTGGAGGGGCCCGTGAGGAGCAGCTGAGGGCTCTGGGATTGTTCAGCTGGAGCAGAGTGAGGGCAGAGCTCCCCGGGGCTGCAGCTCCTCCCGAGGGGCAGCTCCCATCTCTGCTCGGGGACAGGGACAGGAGCCAGGGCACGGCTGGGGCTGGGCCAGGGCAGCTCAGGCTGAGATCAGGGCAAGGTTCTTCCCCCAGAGGGTGCTGGCACTGCCCAGGCTCCCCAGGGAATGGGCACGGCCCCGAGGCTGCCAGAGCTCCAGGAGCCTTTGGACAGTGCTGCCAGGGATGCCCAGGGTGGGCTTGGTGGGGGTCTGGGCAGGGACAGGGGTGGCACTGAATGATTCCTTTCATTTCCTTCCAGCTCAGGATATTCTGTGGTTCAATGATTCTAACAAGAGCTCTATTTATATGCAGAGTGGGATAAGGATCTTAAATTTCATAGGATTCTTGAAACTGGGGTAATGATAAGATATTTAAATCTCCAGACCCTTGCTGTATCTATATGACCTGATTTCTGAGGGAGTTCTGATAACAAGGATGGAAAAATCAGGGAGAAGCTGGTCCCACACCCAAGTTCCCCTAGATGGAGGGGATTGGTGTGATATGTACTGCACCCTTTGCACTCTCCACTGGAGACAGAAACTGTGGATATCTTGAAAAAATTTGCAATATTTATCTGATTTCAGTAGTTTAAAGACTTTTGTGGTGAGCAGAAGCTCACTGCTCTCCAAGAATGAGTAAGTTATGTACCAAAGTCCCTTCACCATTCTGGAAATCCCCGAAGAAAAACCAGAACCTGCTTTCCTGGTGTTAGTCATGTAAATCTGGTGTTTTAGTGAGGGCACAGGCACTGCAGAGATGTGGAGATATGGCTTAGGATGGGCGAAAAACCTTCTGGCCCTTATTTCAGCTGTGGTGATAAGTCAGGTAACACAGTCAGCACCCCGAGCCCACTCACACTGCTGTGTCTGCAGGAAGGGGGAGATTATTTACAGAAACTCAGTGGCATTTAGGGGGTTTACCCTCCAAAGGCTGAAAATCCCCTGCTGCACCAGCAGCCCTGGAGGCTGCAGCCCTGCAAGCTGTGCCAAGCCCAGTGCTGAGCCTGCCCAGAAAGTGCCCAGAGCTGCCCTGACCTGGCTGGGCCTGAGCTGCTCAGGGTGTCCATGGAGTCTCTAAAGATCTCCCCTCTCTGACACGGCTGCACTGTGCATTTCCAGAGCTGTATTTAACATTTACTGCTGTCAGCAAGTTTCGTGTGCCTGCGTTTAAATTCGGTGACATCAGCTGCATTAGTCAGAAGGGAAATTATGGAAAAAATTTGTTTTAGAGAGACAGGTCTGGTCCTCACTCTGCTGAAGCAGCTTGTAACTGTTTTCTACTTTTATTTCTCAAGTTAATTCTTTTATCTGAAACATTTCAGCTCAAGCCAAGAGAGGCTGAAATTACCTTTAGGACTGATCGATGGATGTGCTCACATGGCCTAACTGGCTTTGCACGAGTCATGGTGTAAATCAGAGGAAATCCCTCTGCAATCAATGGGATTAGATGAGCTTAAAAATGCTGCGAGGAGGAGGAAAGACAAAGCTCTATTTGGGGCTGAGGACCAAGGAGAACACACTGGTTTCACTGTGTGCTGTGTGGCACAGGCACTGCAGATCTGCTGCAGGGAAATATGCTGGATAAGGCAGGGGTCTCAGGGGGAACCCTAAAGAAGATACCAGGAGATAATTTATTTTTGTCTTTTGGACCCTTTTTATGGTAGGATGGGCATCCAGAGGGTGCAGCCCCAAGGAAAAGAGCCTGGCTGTTTCCAGGAACTCCATGCAGCTTCTCCCCACTGAGCCAAAAGGGGACTGGGAAAGGGGACTGGGAAATGGGACTGAGAAATGGGGACTGGGAAATGGGATTGCGAGAGGGGACTGGGAAATGGGACTGGGAAATGGGACTGGGAAATGGATCTCAGAGAAGTTGCAATTTCACTGAGCTCCCATAATTTCACCCTGAGGTGCAAAATGAACCCCTGATGTTCTCTCAGAGCAACAAAACACAGCAGCACCATGTCCAACCAGGAGGAAGCCAAGGGCTCAGGGACATGGGGACACATGGGCTGCTGCCAGACAGGTCCAAGAGGATGTGACTGTGCTAGGGAAAGCTCTTTCTGCTGGCTGCCTCAGTTTCCCCACCTCTGAGATGGGTCAGAGAGGAGCACTAGCAAAGGGCACTGAAACCACGAGCTGAAAGTGGCTCTGTCAGCATGGAAGGTGCTGCTACCCAGACGTGGAAAGCCCCTCAAGTGGGGCTCCTGAGGCTTGGCCTGCTCCCAGCCATCCCTGGTGACATTCCACTGCCATGGGGGTGGGATCATCTCTGGCTGGGGCTGACTGTGGGCAGGCACAGGAGCAGGGCAAAACCCTGAATTATTCTGTGAGGTAAAGAAGTAAAGGCAGGCAAGAAACGGGTTTTGATTCCTCTGTAACCCCCGTGGATTTAAGTGCTTATGGAATTAGGCAAGGTGATGTCACACATGTCTGTCAGCAAGCCAGAGTTAGCAGAATTTGCATCATTTATCTCTCAGCAGCCACTCCCTGAAGTTCCTGTAGCTAATTTTAACTCTCTCCTGCCAGTTCAGCGCTCTGTAAACAGCAGCCAAAG